GTCACAGCATATGTCACAGCATACATCACAGCATACGTCACAGCATACGTCACAGCATATGTCATATGCTAGAGGAACTGCACATGTAATACTAATAGTAATCAATTAAGTATACTTACCGTTGTTTCTTTAGGACATCTCATCTTCCAGTAACCACCACCGGCATTTTCCTCATCTTCCCTGTCAAATTTGAATTATCTAGCAGTTTTTTCTACTTTATTTTACATCAAAAAGTTTGATTGCATACTGTTAAATAAAACTATTTGCATCTACAGTATAAGCCTCTCCTCCTCCCCCTCTCCCAAAAGGAATCAGAATTCCCCCTCCCCTCCCCCCAAGAGGGAGAATATAGTTTCTATGGAGAGGGAGGAACTGTATGTATGCTGTAAATAATATTTGAAGCATTTGCACAATAATTATTTCTCCTCAATGAATGGGATTGAAATTTCCCAACAGGGGGTTGGATGGGTCTAATAATGGTACATTCTAACATACCATCCCCCTCTCCCAGGATAGTGTCTGAAATGCATTCAAATACACTAGAGGGGATTAAAATCTCCTATCAGGGGTTGGGAAAGGTTTCAGAAGGGTGTACACTCTAGGAATTTATAATTAGTAGAACTTTCTAGATAAGAGGTCTAGCCCTCATGGGACAATCAATTCTTTCCCCATAGCTTTTAATATACGTACAGCTAATTTTCCCAAAACATTTTTCAAATGATATATTATCTTAAATAAAATATTTATGTGGAATACACAATCAGGGAGTATTTTGAACATGCAAGCATTCAAGTAATTACCAGATAGGTCGTCTCATTCCCCTCATACAATGATAACTTGCTCTTGAGCCAAGCTGTGATGTTTTGGGTATGTTATTAAAAACACTCCAAAAACTCTGCAGAAAAACAATATCTTTAGACAGTGTCCTAAACAATAAACATAATAAAAAACCCTGTTTATGTTAAAAATAGAGCTTGATGATAGTAAAATGCATTTCATTTAGCTAAACCCTAGCCAGGCCTTAGGGGCTGTTTAATATTTATTGAAGCAGGGATATGGATGATAAAATAGTAAAAAAAAATCTTCCAACCCCCCCCCCCCCCCCCAATAGTTTGCCTGATATTTTTGGGACCCCTTGTTAACTGTATTTCAACATTTTGAAGCCCTCCTGTATATAAGACATATCAATTATTTCAATAGCCCCTTTTCAGGGTCAATAAAATGTCAAGCCACCCCATTTTCTCACCCATCCCCTCTCCCTTCATTAAATAACGAATGGGTCCCTTACTTTATGTGGAGAAAGCTTAATGCAAATTTTGTTTATTTTGAAGATAGTTCTAGAAAAAAATGTAGACGTAAATCGAGAATGAATAAAAGTGGCTGTTTAGTCGACCTTAGAGATCGTCATCACCAACGCATTTTAGATAAGAAATAAAAACACGATCGCTATAAATTTCAATTATCTGAGCTCGATCAGCAGGCCTGCAAGTCCAAAGTCTCTTGAGYATAAAATGGATCTAGATATCGAATTTACAATAATTGCATGCAGATTTAGATAAAACGGATATATTCTCGTCAAATGCGTTTACTTTCACTTTTATGCACTAAAGGATAAAGAAAAACGTCTTAAATAAAAGATTTCGTGCACAATTAATACAAAGACTGACATTGTGCTGTCGGGAAGAATATTTGGCATATTTTTTTTCTGCATATACCTGAACTGTCCGAAATGTGTAGATTTTACGCAGATTAGCTGCATATTCTGCTGCTGTTGCACCTCGTACATATCTAGGAAACCCCAAAAAAAGAAAAATAGTTAGAAGAAAGATAAAAAAGTTTTAAGGTCAGTTGTCAACAGGACTGCATAACAATGTCTTACCTATCATGCCACAAAGTCCAAGGAGAATTCAACAGAATTCCGCTCTTTTCGGAGTCTTCTAGCTGACATAGAGACTTGCGAGAAAGCTGTGGTGATTCAACATTGCTTGAATTTCTTTGGTATTCTACTTCGGGGGAGAATACATCGTCTTCTCGATCGGAAAGAAAAGGAGACGTTTTGTGTTCGACGGCCATTTTCTCGACGAAAAGCTGTCAGAACCACAACAAATTACGTCACGCGCGCTACAAGAACATTAACCTCACAGGGGATAGGAGAAAACCAAACTTTGCAGCAACAATACCATCTAAAAACTCTTTATTAAGCAATTTACATTAACTATTAAATTCATAAGATTTTTATTAGCACATATTTTAGCTTTYATATGCTTTTGATATTCTTTAAAAGACTTTTGTTTAAACTTATACATACCCTACCCCTGTTAGATTATTATTTCTCGTGGAAACCGAATAGGTTCAACACTGGCAAGGCCAGGCTACTCATTTCCAAGATGGCGTCCATCGCAGAGCAAATAAGAAGCCTTTCTCGTCCAGAACCAACGCATTTTGACCCCGAGGAAGACGATTTTGATATCACAAGAGCTAAGCTAGTTAGTAAAGATGATAATGAAGAGTTAGATGGTGAAAAATTGGACTCAAGCTCCTTGAGAAAGAAGAATATTGCGCTTTTAGCGGACGAAGACAGCAAGTATCATGGCAGGCCTGTGTCGAGGGGTGAAATCGCTAGAATGAGAGGAGACTTTCAAGACAGCGATGAATCACTAGAAGATGATGAGGAAGATGACAGTGATGAAAGAGGTAGTGTTATTAGGATAAATACTATTATATAATAACTTATATACTCTATGATTGTAAAATGAATGAAGTCACGTGGTCTAATTAAATGATATCTTATTTGTGAATAAATGTTTTGCTATAGTGTTCTGATTGAATGTTGTAGTGGTCTTATACTATGTATAGGTTCAGCAGATAATTTATTATCATACTAACACTGCCTATCATTTGCCATCCACCAGAAAGTAGTTTATTGTTGGAATCGATCAGCTGAATGAAATATAATTAATATTGTTACTACCAACCTATAGTACCAGCTATAAACCAGAGAATATTCTATAGGCCGTTTTCTCAAGGTTCCAACTTGACGAGCCACAAAACTGAAAAACGCAAATTCAGTAAAATTGAGAAGCCAGTTTTATATTTAAAGAGGAGAATAGGGTTAGCTAGAGTCTATTTTATTACATACATACTATGCTATTGTTGAACAGTCTTATGGTACAGTATATGTTGAGTTAATCTAAAATTTTACTCTTTTTCTCTCTCTCAGAAGAGATTGAATCAGATGATGATGATGGAATAAAAGAAAAAGAAAACAGAGAGGAAAGCAATGAAAATGAGAAGGATGTTGAAGATGATGATGACGATGAAGATGATAGTGAAGTTGATTGTGATGATAGTGATGAAGATGATGATGATGTTGAAAATGGAAGAGGTCTTAATGATGAAGAAGAAGAAGGCAGAGGTATAGACAGTTTTTCATCATCAAGAAGAGAAGATGAAATAGAAAAAGGAATAGCAGTCAAACAACAACTCAGTAAGTTCAATTGTAATATTATTCATTTTCAATATATTATCTTGGTTTTGATTTGCAACAAAAGCAAAGAATGAGAAGCATACGGTATTAAATAGCATATCAAGCTTTACTCTATATGTTAGTGTGGAAGTTGGAGTAGAGAAAGCTCACTCCATATTTGGTATGATCAATTCCATATTTGGAAGATTGTGCGGAAAAGCGGAAAACAAAAAGGTCGTCGTTTATAACAAATTCGACATGAACTTTTTTGAAGAAAAGAAAAAAAAAGACAAGTAAAAAAAGAAAAACTTTGGAAAATCAAGGAAGGATACGGGGACAACGCTTACTCGTGGGTCTGCCTCGCAGACAACAGACGCAGAGAAATACAACACTCAATGTTTGATATGAGAATCAATATTGCACACTACATATGAACAGTAAATGTTTTTATTTACACTTGGTGGAGAAGAATGTTAATTAAGACACCAGGCTGGAGCACCAGAAAATTTGAATTTAACTGGAGTATAGAGATTTTGCACCATCATGTAATAGCCATGACAGGAGGCACAACAATAGTCTTTCCTCTGGAAAACTGAGTTCTTTCTCATGTAAATCAGACTAGTCCAGATTCAATTGTTCCTGCCTCTTGTCATAGTTGCCATCACGTGATGGTGCAAATCCTCTATTGTAAAACAGTCATTCTGTTAATATACTACATAAATATGTAACATACTAATATGTACACGTATATGCTGTTAGAATGTATGGTTTTTATTTTGTTACTCAGGTCTATGGGACAGTATACTTGAATATCGTATCAGGATACAGAAAGCCATGATGTTGGCCAATAAATTACCCCAGTCAGACAATATTAATGTATTCACAAGTTCAAATGATATTAACCTGAAATCTGTGAAAGACAAAGGTAAGTACTAGTTGTACTTAGATGATTGAAGCATTAAAGTAAGGAAAGGATGTATGAATTGACTGAATGAAAACGAAAATGGTTGTAAAAAACGAAATATGAAATTTGATCAAAATATGGAGGATTTGGGAAAGGGGACCTTCTTTCCTTGGAGCATATTATTAATAAAGAGTAAAAGTAAAGGAGTACACCCTGGTAGAAAAACAAAACTAATGAAGAAGGAATGTTCCAAACAACAGTGCAGTAAATGTTTTTAAACAGTGTGTAACAGGGCTAATAGTAACTGCTGGTCAGTCGCCGGTCCTGATCACAAAAATCAATTTCTAAATTCTAATTCAATTATTTGGCTGCCTTATCATTTGCAGGTTGCAAAACCTGTTACAGCTATAGGTATTAGGCTGTCCACCCAGGAGTGGTAAACGCATTAAATRATGACTGTACAAACTATAGTATTAACTCAGTCATATCTTGTTTCTGGTTCAATGTTACTGGTCAAAATGATCGGCAAGACAAAGATTTGACCAATCAAGTACCAATTCTGACTGGACATTGTCCAATAACTGGCTGTTATTTTTAGCCCTGTTTAAGTTTCCTTCTTGTTCACTAGCTGTTCAATAGACCTACTAAGCTACTGCTAGTCATCATCAGTTTAATTACCTTTAATGTTGATATTTTTAATTTCTAACAGAGAGGAAATCCTTGATGGATTTTTTGTACAAGTTACTTAAGGTGCAAGAAAAGTTACTGGAAGGAAATCCAGAGACAAGAAGTATTTTACATCCTGGAAACAAAAATGGTAAACAAGATAGTGAAGATGATGAAGAAATACCCAGTGATAGCGAAGGAGAAGATGAGAAAAAGAAGTCAGACGAAGAAGAAGAAGAATCAGAAAATATTCCTAGTTTAAAATTACCAGCAAAGAGAAAAAGAGACCTGGTATGCAAATTACTATCAGGTTATATACTGATTAAATAAAAAGTACCTCAAATTTGCTTGGGTTGAGCCTCATAATGTACTATTGAATTAGTGCTTTTGCAGGGTGAGGTAATAAGTAAGGTTTGGGCTATAGTGAATGATCTTGACCATAAAATAATGGTTGACAATTGGTTGGTAACAATGTATTGGTAAGATAATAGTAAGGTCACAGTAAGATAATGGTCAGGGCTTAAAATAGCAGATTGACATCAGACAATGTCTGACCAGAATTTGAACTTGTCCAGTCAAATCTTTGCCTTGTCAGTCATTTTGACCAGCAACGTTAAGTCAGAAACAAGGTGTGGACGAGCTAAAACTAATTTGGCTGGTCATCATGACCAGGGACTGACCAGACATTAGTTAAGCCCTGATGGTAATTTATCAAACTGAAACAACTTACTAACCACTATTTTATGGCCCAGATGGTCCACCATGAAATGCCCTGGTGGTGTACACGTTAATTTATGGTCGTGGACTTGATCCCTGGACCTAAATGTACTATCGTTTACGATTATACTTGTTTGCTGGTTCTCTCATGACACTTAAATGGTTTTTCTACAGTTTTCTTTGCTTTGAATTTCGAATTTGATATTTAAAGAGGGCAGAAAATTTAGAGAACCAGAGAAAAATCCTCGAAGCACAGGAGAGAACCAACAAACAACTCTAATCACATGTGATAGAAGGTTTGAGAATCGAACCCATGATGACAGAGACAAGAGGCTGTACATCAGCAGCACATAGCACATAAGCTTCTCGTTATCTAGATACAGTATATACAATGCATTTTATATTGCAATATATTTTATTTATGTGGAATGCTTTTGATTGTTCTTTTTCACAGACCCAAGAGGAATTAAGTGAATGTATTACCAAACGGCATGCTGCTTTTCAGAGCTATCGTGATTCAGTCATCTCGAAGTGGAGTGAAAAAACGAGGCTTGCTTCAGGGAAACTCAGCAGTAAGGTGTGCGAAATTTTTGATAAACATTTTTATCTTTGTATTAATTTTACAATAATTGTGGAAGAGTTTTAAGGAGTTGGTTCTCTCCTGTGCTTTGAGGGCTTTTCTCCAGGTTCTCTGGTTTTCCTCCCTCCACAAAAATCCTCTTCTAAATTGCAATTCAATCATGAAATAAGTAAAATGTTGTCTATCACAAATCCTGTGCTCTGATTGGCTGAGCTATGGTACTGATAGAGACCATAGTAGTCAATTGTGCAGGTTAAAAAAAAAAAACAAGACATAAAAAAGACTATTTATTAAACCTAATTTCAACATTGTTTATATCTATCTATTTGACTGACTAGTTGGTTTATGCTAAAACAATTAGACCTCTGGCCCTCATGGTCTCTAGTCAATAGCAAATTTGCCTTTGGCCTCATGCGGTATGGTGCGGTATTGACTTGTAGACCATTCTAATCGCTAAATAGTTTTGAGAAAACCTTTCATATTTTTGAATGGCAGCAGCGAAAAACCAAATTTCTGCTTGCAGCTTGAAGTTACAGAGTTCACATGTTTATGATAATAGCAGTAAATGAAATTAGGATAAAATAATTTATATTATTTCTTTCTTTTATAGTCATTCAGTGCTTTTGACAAGTCAGCTCTCACACAAATTAAACAGGTAACATGAAATGATACATTAACTAGAACACACAGACTTGCAAAAACTGAGCTAAATTAATGCTTGATTAATTTAAGATGGAAATTTGTTTCTGCTAAAGTCAATTTTCTAGGAAAATTTTTAAGTGATAATCGTTTGAGAGAAACTCCAAACTTGAAATGAAATGAAAATACCTGCAGAAGAAGTCCTTGTTGATAACTGATCAACCTGTGACCAATGACTTGTGACAAAGACAATGTCTGGTCAAAATATGTCCACTTGACTGGTCACACCGGTTGCTCACTTTAAGATATGCATGGTCGTCATGTGTGCCGTGTTATTGAGCAGCCATTTGTAGCTTCTTTGGTGGTAATTTGAATGTGTTTCTTGTCAGATTTTGAGTGATAAACCAAGATTAATAAGAAGAACTCAGCTAAAAAGAAGTTCTTACAGAGTTTTGGGGAAAACTGATAAAGATGCATCAACTGGAACAGAGACAGAGGTATGTTAGTGGAGTTGAAATAATCCTCAAAATTGAATTTTAATCTTTTATGTTTTGTTTTGTGTGTGTGTGTGTGTGTAAAAGATTAATAATATATTTTTGGGACCGTATAAAAATAAAATTATGAATTTATGATCGAATTACGTGATTAAATGAATGGATATTTATTTTCATTTTCAGGAACAAGCAAATGCTCATCTTAAAGACTACGACAGTGAAATATTTGATGATGATGATTTTTATCACCAAGTAAGTCAGACATAGTAGAGAATAAGAAGATATAACTAGCTAAAAACTATTGTGAGCTGCGTCAGTGTTTCTAATGAAACAGTAATGATAAAAAGGTAAATTATACACCATGAAAAGATGAAAAAACTTACTGACGTTTCCACTCCTTTCTACCACCTCTTTCTATTTTACTCCGATCAAAGGACTTGCGTCCAAAACATCAATAAGTTTTTTCATCTTTTCACGGTGTATAATTTACCTTTTTATCATTACTGTTTTATAGTAGAGGATAGTACACTCAGATAAATACTGGTGATGATGATGATGATGACAGTAATCATGATGGTGATGATCATAATTGCAGTGATGGAGGTGGAGGTGATACTGAGTGATGCAAGTGAAGGTGGTGATGTTTTTGTTGATAATGATGACATGCATTTCTTGCCTTTAAAGGCCTTGGAAGAAAGTTTTCTAAATCGTAAATTTAAACAATTTACCTTAAGTCATGCAATGTATAATCCAGTCTGATTTTACTGCTCTGTTCAAAAACCTTGATTTTCCATTGCATTACCAGACCTGTTTCCCATTTATAGACGTTTTATTTAGAAAGGTATGTCATCTTGATTCGCATATTTTAAATTTCAGCTCCTGCGTGAACTGATAGAGAGACGGACGACCACAAACACTGATGATCCCATTGAAATGGGAAGGTAAATACGTTCTGAAACTGAAAAAAAATCTAGTCTGATTTATAAAACTGTAGAAACACAGCTTAACTGATGTATGAAAGCTCAATTGTCCCCTTCACAGTTCCCTGCGCCACCTTGAAAGGTAGCCCTGCCTTTGCATCGAAGCGAAACAAACGTTGAGCTTGCAATGATAGAGACCTTTTTTTAACACCTTGGACAATTATTCACAGGTCTCTATCATTGCAAGCTCACCGTTCGTCTCGCTTCGATGCAAAGGCACGGCGACCTTTCAAGATGGCGCAGGGAACTGTGAACTTATTTTTTATTCTAATTCTAATTGATACTCAAAAATTCTAATTCTCATTGCAATCAAACGATACCTTTTTCTTTTTGTGTTTTCCTTCCTTCCTTCCTTTCTTCTATTCTATCTTGTACTTGCTTGCTTTCTTCTTAACCATGTTTTCCATTCCATATTAGGCAATGGTTAGAATTACAAAAATTAAGGCGCAAAATAAAGAAGAAAATTGACACGAAGGCGAGCAAGGGAAGAAAACTAAGGTAACTGAACAACGTTTTGTTTTATGCGTTAAGGCAAGTGCTATGAAAGGAATGGATATTTCAAGGGATTGACGTGTTGCCTTCATGAAGTAGCAGTAAAGATGATTTTGAAGATGCTGATTACGACAATGACGAGATGGTGGTGTTTGCACTCTTTTCATTGCTACGCGCTGATCGAGACAACAGTCTCGACAGTGAAATTGGGCAATACACTTCCGTCGATCAAATAAATTGGTCGGTAACTTTATATTCTCTGATTGGCGGCAGTGCATTGATCTATTTCCCTGTTGCGACTGTTGTCTCGATCAGCACGTAGCAGTGTAAAGAGTGGTTATGGTGATGGTGTTTGTGACAGAAGGAGTAATGATGATGATTATGGTATCCGTGACGATGGTGGTGGGAGTAGTGGGGATGATGATGATAATAATAATAATAATAATAATAATAATGATAATAATAATAATGATAATAATAATAATAACAATAATAATAATGATAATAATAATAATAATAATAGTTTATTTATCCACATAACGCCTAGGAGCATTTCACATACTCAGTTAAAATGCGCACGTGCACTAGTCCTTAAGAAATATATAAAACTAATATAAAATAAAATATAATATGTATATGTATATGTATATGTATATATATATATATACACCTAGTTGCAAGAAGGCTTCCACAGGAAGAAAGAACACCAGCATGACGATGGCGATGCCGGGTGGTGGTGGTAGCGATGATGACGATGATGATTGGGGTATCCGTAATGATAGTGGTGACGGAGATGGTGTTGGTGGGATGGTGTTTTTGATGATGATGTAGGTGGTAGCGGAATGATGACTGGGGTATTCATAATGATAGTTATGACGGTGATAGTGTAGATGATGATGCGTGTTGACACTGTTGGAAGTGGTGCTGGTGTTCCATGACGGATGTTGATGATAAAGATGATTACAGTGCCGATCGTTAGTGACTGATGATGACAATGATATCATTTAAGGTACAATGTTCACAGCAAGTTGGAAGGATACATGCCTCCTATCGAGACTGGAACCATGCCAGATTCATCAAGGTCAGTACCGAATAATATGCTATGAGCTCTCTCTTTGACTCTGCAACTAGTAAAACATGCCAAGAAAAAGGGCTTGGAGAAAAAGAGAAAAATAAAAGGAATTTCAATTAAAAAAAAAATCGCGAAGCATTATGGTAGTGGAAGTCAAATGACACCATGTAAACGTCTTATTTTGATCATGTGCAGTAATAATGCAGAGCTCTGGGGTCAAAAGTGGGAAGACAAAAATTTCGTCAAACTATATAAATATCACTCCGAGTTGGTGATATGGAATCCATCGTCATTAAACTAGAGTGACGTTACTAGGCCGGTGAAATCAATTAATGGTTTTCACGTCGGCCATGTTGGAGGACTTTAACAAAAGAATTGTCAATGAATTCTTTCGTTATATCCTCCAACATGGCCGACGTGTCTTTTGTTATTTTTTAAAAATTAAAACATGTTAAGAGTTTGATATCGTTTTTATTCACGAGTTTCCATATCATATCGCGAACGAGCGACTCTGCGAGCGAATGAGTGAGTGATATCATATGGAAAACGAGTGAACAGAAAAGATAGGCTCTTAATAATTTTTTTATTACACATGTAAGGTCGATACAATAGCAAAACTCACAGTTTTCAGTTTACTTTGAATTGATATCGTATCACTTCACTGATATAGTATGGTTTTTATTCACGGCTTGATCGCACTAGCCTGCGTCACATCCGGAATTTTCTTCGTAGAAAATTCCGGATGTGACGCAGGCTAGATCGCACTGATATCGTACCTTTAATTGTAATAAATGACTTTATAAATAAATTTATTACACATCTAGGTTACACAACTGTGTGATAATAATAATCTCTATACAATCAGTGACCAAGGTTCAGGTCAAACGTCGAACTTCACATGAGCTGAATTTAATAACGTCAAAGACGACCGCCTTGTTATCCATTGTTTCAATTTTCAAAGTAAAACAAGAAAAAAAAATGGAATTATTTTGCACTTCTTTGTATTATGCTTGCTACTTTACTTGGCCCATGATATTTTTCCATGAGTCACGTGCACGAGCCAAGTATATTGACTATTATTTACGTGTTCCACAAACTTGGGTCGATGTTTTTATCTAGCACGTTCTGTGGCCGCTTAGCAACGCTTCGATTTTATTTTTTTTGCGTGATGTCGACGAGAAACGTGCATCACACACTAGAAATTCAACGGAATCTGCGAGAAGGATGTGATATGAAGTGATATGTTGTTGTTGATATGTTGCTGTTGTTGCTTCTATTGCTCCGCTGTTTTTCTTCATATTGTCATTATACTGTGTCTTGGTTTACATTGTAATTCTTCTACTTGTTTTATTTTATTGTATTAATTATCGAATGATCAATCAATCCCCCTCCCTTTCCACCCGTGTGTCGTTTACTCCACGGCTCACTACATTCACAATATCTTATCAGATCTTTTGTTTTTCTAGAAACGAGCTGTTCTCGTCACTGTTTGGACAAAGCAAAACGCAGACAGAAATATTTGACTTGGACGTATTCAGATAACATTTACATTGATCAGTATTTACGATAAAAAATCTACTCAATAAAATAGTTTGTACCTCATTTGATGTAGTTATCTTGATTTACCTAATGAGGATATGTCATGGACCTTGTATATTTGACGCAATAGGTTTTAGTTCCAGGTAGGCGGACATATTTCTTTTCAAATTTTGTTTTATTTTGTTCGCAAAGAATTTGTTTTGATAAAGGAAACACCCTTTTTGGTCGTATTGCACGATAAGATGATAACTAGGCTTCTCTATTTATTTCTAGTTTCTTTCTTTACATTACTATATTTTCGTATATTTTCAAGATACTCATGTGACATTCACTGACGCGTTTGCCCAATTCCCGCCCTATTTTCTAAAACACGTGTAATAGTTCGATAACAAATCTTTGCCACAAAAGAGAAACTTCCAGTTGTCAAAGCACGCTCATATTCTTCAATTAAAAGAAAGCTAATAAAAGAGATTGGTTTTTAGTAGGAAATGGATCGCGGAACTTTTAATTCTCATATTTTGGGGTCGCCGACGTGACCTTTGAATGCTTTGTTGCTTTTAACTTCTAAGTTTAATTATCTATTGCACAAAATAAATAAAGAAATTACTCTTAAATGATACTTATTCATTTGTTTCAATATTGAGGGTATTGTAGCTGGAAGGAATTAGATTTTAGTCGAATGCAGGAGGAAATCCTTAGATTTTTGGGATTCTATGATTTATTTTTCATTACTTTTCTTGTCAAAATTCTCAGAAGCTCTAAAAGCAGGAAAGGCGTTCTTTGAACGACGTATGTTGACACAAATGAAACTTCAATACGTTGGCTGCTAATCTTTACAAAACAAATGCACAGACCTGATGCAGAATGTAAGAGATTTTATCAACTTTATATCTATATACGCATATTTCCAATAAAGGAATTATTTATAATATTTTTTCATTTTGATTCTAAACCTCCCTACATTGATGAAAATATCTGTTTTAGTCAATACGAACGAGGATAGTCTATATCTTCAAAACTGTGAATAATTACACCTGTTTTGCTTAAAAAATAATCAGTCCTATTTGTTATTTTTTATTTTTATATGAAAACGTTCTTGGAATTAGGTGTATAATCTGTATTCTAGTTTCAGCCGAAGCTAGTAAACAAATTAGGTTTATACAGTTATTGCAGAGACGTAACAATTGATGCATATATTTATCAATGATATTAATAAGGTCAGTTGGCAATTCATTATTTTTCTTTGCTGTGCTATTGTTAATCACTACTTATACCCACTAATTTCGTAAATATTTCGCTATGTAGGACAACTTCTTAAGTGTTCTTTAAAGCCAAAATAATTAATATCGTTGACACATTGAAAAATTCCGTGGTTTTGATATGTAAATAAATCTGCTTTCATCAAACCAAAACAAATTAACCAAACTGCGTTGTTGTGATTGAAATATAAACGAAGCCGTGAAGTCTTCAACTAAAAAAGTTGAAAAAAAGAGAGAGACGAGTTTTTTGACGAATTGTCAGCTCTTTGTAGAAGTATTAATACAAAACTAGTACGTGCAGTGAGTTTTTAAACGTGAGTTTTTAAAAGAACAATATACACTCCCGGTAGTACTTAGAACGAGCACTTCTCCACTCACTTGTATATACGAGCACTGAGGAGGAGATAGCAAGAAAAACAAGCGATAGATGTCCTTTAGTTTAAAAAAATATGAAATTGCTTTAAACGACTTAGGAAGTGGATTTGAATAAATTGAAAACTTGACCACTAACTAAGGTTTAGATATCTTGATCAGTAAGCAAGAAAAAGGGGCTTCATTTTCTTATTTTTTCGCTCGCAGTGTGTGGAATCCGCATAGCAAATRTCAGTGGTTTTAAAGTTCGTGTAAACTCCACCTTTTGTTATGTCGCTTTTCATGACTAAACCCTTTTTTTCTTACAAAAACCATAGTAATATATATTCCTAGATGTTCTAATTATATCATTGTAGATTGACATGTGTCAAGGTCGTGAATCGTTAAACCAAAAAAGGCCAATATAGGTATGATTCGGGACATATAAAAAACGACAGTCATATAACGCAGAGACTGATATAACGTTTCGTGTGGACAAACCACTGATTACGAACCAACCAAATTAACTCCAGTTTTGCGCACCGCGACTTAATCTGATATCCTCAAGAAAGTAAGTACTTCCAAAACTGATCCCTTGAATTTTCGTAAGCTTCTCAAGCACTATATTTCAACCACAGAATTTCTTGGATATTGACCTCATGAGAACGCTATTCTTTTTGTAAGGTGTCAGGGTTGACAGTTGGACGGAATTCTCTCAATCTGATCAACAATTCCAAGTAAAACCGCATCGTAAAACTTGAAGAGCACATAAGGTTAATTGCCTGGCGTACAAAAATCCTCACAATTGCAAGGATTTTTTTTTCTTTTCCCACAGTAAAATGTATATTCTGTCGCCATCATGCGCAAAGAGGGCGGCAATTTAATTTCCGAGTATGAATAAGGCCAATATATGGATGGCGTGTCTTTTGAATTTCTAAACTACATTTTGGTAAGATCTGACAACTTTTGACTGTTATAATGGTCTACGCATGCGCAATAGAAGATAGCAAATCCGACAGCACGTAGCCACAGTATAAATTTCCGGGACATTGATATACTTTCACAATTATTTGTTTGATCAAGGATCAGGTTTTGCAAACCCAGCTACCGCTCACATAGATGACATTGCTTTCTTTTTCCGTTTCTAAAGCAGATAGCCGGTAAGACTGGACAAGCTAGTGTTATATAGCCGAAAACCCGCCTGCAGGCGATATCTTGTCTTGAAAAGCCAAAAAGGCGCGAAGTGTTAATGACATATTGGTTATTGGCGCAGAAAGAAAAAAACAGTTATTCAAATTGAAGTTGAAAGTAGAATGGCGAATTTCGAAGGGGCTTTTAATGCGTCTATTATGAATACATCGAGTGATGGCCTTCAGGCGATGGTTCCTTGTGATCTCTTTTCTCCTTCGAGTGCTGTTGTTCGGAGTAAAATCTTCGCCTACTCAATCCTCATCCCAGTGGCTCTTTTAGGGAACATTCTTACGATTCTCGTCATCTACACCAACAAGAACATGAGAACCACTCTGGACTACTTCATCATCAACATGGCCATATCCAATCTTCTGATTCCGGTTGTTGCTCTTCCTTATCAAATCATCAAGACTGCCAACAACTCGAATGTATGGTTGGTAGACGGTACGACTGGTGAATGTCTGTGTAAAGTAGTTTTTTTACTGGTTGATGTAAGTCCAGTTGCTTCGATCTTTAGTTTAATAGGCATGAGCTTGAAGCCATTTAGGGCAATAGTCTGCAGGTGTAGAAACGAGAGCTACTTCTTTGTTAGCTCAAGACGTAGGACATTGCTAATCCTATGCATCTGGTTAATGTCRTTGACCATTTTTTCTCCGTATTTCTACACTTTTCGTCTTCACCGCCATAACAACACGACGTACTGTGTACAACGCTGGAGCCCAGCTTTTGATCAAGTCAAAGCACATCGTACTTTCTCAGCCATCGTTCTAGTCCTGGTCATCATCATTCCATTCTTCATCCTAATTACTCTTTATTCGGCTATTTTGATTACCTTAATCAAATGCCTTCCACTCTACAATCCACAATCATCAGCAGCGCGAAGCCGTAGAAATAAGACTATCAAAAACACTACAAAAATGGCCTTTACTCTGGTGCTTGCGTTCGGGTTATGTTGGGGCCCGTACAATGTTTTCATGATCTTCTGGGGTTTTGCCTGGGACTGGAAGCCTCTTCCATCTTGTAATTGGTACCTAATTTTCCTCTGTGCACAGTTCCTCACCTATGCATACAGCTGTCTCTGTCCCTCGATTCATTTCTTGTTTTTTAATAAATACAAGCGAGGGATGAAGAGACTTTTCCTAAGATTTCTATATGTTACTTCAAATGGAAGCTAAACTTAGCAAATGTTGAAAAACGTGGGGCTGAAATTTTATTGATTTGGTGTTAAATGATGCAATGTTAATATGAGCCTCAGGGACAGGATTTCCAGTTAAATTTAAAAATTTACGCGCCGGCCTCAAAGGAGTAGTCAAAGTTAAGTTTGCAGCAGGAATTTCAAACCAAAACTATCACAGCAAACGTTCAACTCGAGTTGGGAATATTATTCTCAATTGTCACTTCAGAAAATGTGGAAAAAACCTTCGAGCCGCTGGCGAATAAAAGGCGCAACGTGGCATACTTCATTAGAAATTGATGCTACGCTTGCAGACATGGATATGTCTATAATTCAAATCAACTCTTAAACGCTTTCAGTTCTTATGAACGCCACTCAATTTACGGCTATATATTTTAAATAAATAAAAAAACAACGCCTAAACCTTAAGACTTAAAAACGAGATTCTGAACAAAAAATAAACAAATAATGATAATGATATACTATTACTAAAAGGAAAAAAAATGCATTACCCTATAGCGGATGTGAACTCATTAATTCTATACAAGAAAATGAAGTGAGTATGGTATCGAAACCCGAAAGGTTCTTTAGGGACATCTGGAAGGGCTTGTGGACGAGGGTTCTATTGGTTGAATGTGTACAACTTTGGAATAAGATATTCAATGGGGTATTCGAACTCATTCCTTTTAAACCCTTCATTTTGAGAAGACTATTCACTCTAAGTGCACTTGTGTCTCTTAGTAAAGTCATTTCAGTGTATGTATGTCTTTTGTTTTGAAAAATACTTAGCTTAATAAAACAGTATAATTGCGGGGTTTGTTTTAATATTATTCTTGTGAGGTGTCAAGGTTGGCGAGAACAGTCTGTGGCGCGATGTATTCTTATACCCCCTCCCTCCCCCTCCCCCTCCCCCACCCTTCGGGATATTGTCCAGTGCGACGCTTGCACAGGCTTCATTGTTCAAGATAACTACAGATGAATGAATTAACATTGGCTAAAAAATCAAAATTTAATGAAGTCAAACCACGATACAACGATAATGTCAACCAACTGTGAGATATACATTGCTGTTGACAATTTCTTTCAAGATGGTTCCAAAAACTAAAGTTTTTTTGAATTTCTCGGATTTTGCCTAACCAAAACTGGCGCTCGGCTTTACAGATCGGTATTTAAGCCATATGTCATTCCCTTGAGTTCTACTCCTTTCTCTACTGCTGACGCTTGAAAAGAGATCCTATTGACAGAATTCAAGCACCCAATCCAAGCGAATTTCAAATAACATTTGCAAAACATTTTGTTCTATAAGTAAACACTTTTAATCTTATAAATGCTCTTTTCAAAATATAATCAGTGTTTTTTGGACAGAGTTTATATTTAAAGATAATTGTTAGGGTTTTTCTGTTTCAAAATCCGAGACATCTGATTTCCCAAGCGGTTCTAGATCTTTTTTCGACGATAAGTTTTATCCGACAATCGACTAACTTTTCATTGTTGTTGTCCATCCCGGCGCTTACGTCTGGCAACAGATGGGAATGGAATAGTCGTGCTGTCTGCCTTGACTGCCTTGTCGCTTGAATCAGGCAGTCTCAACGCTTAGCACGTAGGAAGCGGTTTATTATCTTAGTACTCATGCCTTTCACATTAGGGGAAAAAATTATCTAATTTTATCAATACCTTAAAACAACCTCTTGGCTTATCGAAGTCAAAGCATGGCTTCACAGATCCAATTGGCTAGAACTGACTTTTACAGAGGGGGGAAAATCGAGAATAATCCAGAGAAAATCCTTCGAATGAAGGAAGAAAAGTGCAAAATCCCTCCGGGCGCGTGATCAGCATTAATACTAATAAATTATATCCGATAATATTGATCTAAGGACTAATATATAAATTCGATCCCACAGATTGGATGGAGTTGGAGTTTTGCGTGATTCTTGCAGTGGGATTCAACTAATCGGGTTTTTTTACGACCAGATAATCGCTCTTCTACTCGCTCAACACTATTTTCGATTTTCATCTAATAACAAAACACTCAACCCAGATGTCGATCTTGAAGCCTGACAAAACCCTTGTGGTAGGAAAGGGTTTTTCTATTTTAGACAAAAACGTAAACAACATTAGTCTAGTGTTGTAAATACAGCTATTTCAAAAACAGTTGGTGAAGAATATTTTGTTGCATGTTGTGTGCTGCATATATCTTGATTGTTGCTTACTAACAGAACTCTTGAAACGTATATTAATGCAAATATGCCGGGAAAAGGTACAGATAAACAAATAAAATGCCATATCGATATGACCTCTCGCTGATTGAATTCAAATCTCTCATATTGTAGTTCGGGCTTGTTATGCAAAAAGCAAGATAGCTGTATAAATGGAAGATTGTATGATTATGGTGGTACAATTAAATGCAATCATTGAAATTTTGAAAAAGCATTGATCAAGTATCGGGCATTTTGACAGCAGATTCATCTAGGGTCCTCGCAGTATTTTAAAGGTTAAAGCGACACCGGGCATTCTGACAGCAGATTCATCTAGGATCCTCGCAGTATTTTAAAGGTTAAAGCGACACCGGGCATTTTGACAGCAGATTCATCTAGGGTCCCCGCAGTATTTTAAAGGTTAAAGCGACACCGGGCATTTTTAATATGCCGTACACCGGGGACTTGATAAAAATAAAATCATTTACGAAAATATTTCCCTTCATAGAGGGCTATCGCATCACGTTACTGATAATACTAAAAAGTAGTTCATGAAAAAAGCCATTAGGATTGATTGTTTTTATGCCAAAGAGCTCTTAAAGAATTCTCTTCAACTTCTAGAGAAATTATAGCACCGACTTCTCGAAATGAAGGGCGGTTAAAGTGTCAGTCTGCCTTCATCATAACTTTTGTTCGATATCGTATTTCTTGACTGTTGCTTTTGAAATATCAATATTGTTTCTTAATGGTGGTTTTATTGTCAAGTGGCTCTGAGTACAGAGGAAGATGATGTTAAAAAGGCATTTCATATGAGGGCGAATATTTTTACGTTTATGTGGATGGGGCGAGTAGAGTACGGTGGAAAAGCCGTGGATCGACTTGTCAAAATTAGTTCTTGAATGCAAAAAAAGAAAGAAAAAATGGTAACGAAACGCAACGTGCGGTAAATTCGATTCTATCTGTGAATGGATGGATGGATGGTAGATGTAAGAAAGAAAGAAAGAAACAAACAAACAAACAAACAAACAAACAAACAAAGGAAGGAAGGAAGGAAGGAATAAAACTCATTTTTCATTCATAGAAATTTCTTTTAAGATTTGTCCATGCAAAGGCTGGTGGAAATACAACTGGCAACTAGGTGCACAACGAGATAGCAAGAGTACTGAGATGAATCGTATTTTGTCTCTCCATTCAAATTAGCCCGACCATTTTATCAGCGTACTACTATATATTCTAATGTCCTAAAGACCCGCTTAGATTGGACCTTTTCACAAGTAGTGTTTTGAAGGTACGAGAGCACGCACCTGTTGAATACGGACATCATAAAGGTGCCCGCATTAAACAGGTTTACTTTTATAAGAAAATATTAAATAGACAAGGATTGAACGTATGATGCATAGCTGTTCTTAACGATGAATGTCATATAAAATCAAATCTTGCCTACACTCATTTGAAGAATCGTTGTCGGGTTCAGAAACATAGAACATAGAAGCTGAGACCGACATGGAACATGGGAAGTACATTAATTAGATGCATGCTGTGACCGGCGACGCGTGGCACCATCTACTGTTTTACGCGTTTGGCATTCTAATCCGAATGCATGGATGGCGCAAATGAATAAATTATAATATAATTATATCATTTCCCATGTGCCATTTCGGTCTCAGCTTTTATGTTCTATGTTACTGGACCCGACAACGATTCTTCAATTGAGTGTATACAAAAACAGAGGAGATATAGGTCGTATTAGAGAGGTTTCCGAATCATACAGTTTTATTTCATTATCCAATATTAACATTATTGTTTTTATTAGAGTACAAACACTATAAGTGTGTAACATAAATACCACTAAATACTGCTAAATTATGCTAATCCTATTGCTTTATATTGTTTGATTAGCACTATTTACTACTAAATAGTGCAAAGTGTTGAAAACTTTTAGTGTTTGTACTCTATCATTATCAGATCATTATTATGTATTTTATTTTGTATTTTATAAAAATGTCGTTTACTGATTGGCTCTCTAAAATGACGTTTACTGCTGGTTGGCTCAGTTCAAAAGCTATTTGAAGACGAAAAAGAAACAAAAATCTATTTGGAGAAGCGAAGAGAAAGGTCCCCAAGTGAGGCATGCCTGGTTACAAAGACTGGGCAGCACTGTACTCCAACCGAGCATGCGCAAACGTGAAAGTGAAGGCCTGGTTGTACAGCAACCAAAGTACGCAAAAGTGACATTTTTTTCCCCCTTTCTAACTACTTTGATTTTAAAAAGCCATAATTACAAAATTATCCATTTTTATAATCTTTTTTCTTTTCTCATTTTGGTTTGAAAATTAATACGATTTTTTAAGCCAGTTAATGGAAAGATAATCCAAATTCTGGTACGATTCGCGGCACGCATTCATTGCTGGTATGGACTAGTTAACGTCGATATTTAGTTCAGTTTATTTATTTATTTATTTTTATAAGCTGTGTAGCTGCTAATGACGATAATTTACTAAACCGGTTATGTAGTAATTTGCTCAAATTCTTAATGAATTTTTTTTGTTTGTGCTTTTTTGGCCAGAAATCGTCAGTAGCGAAGCAAGTACTACAGCACGCACGACTACTCTTGAATCTTTTCCATGAAAACAATTCTGAAAGTCCTCTCTAGGTTGGTCTCTCTTTTTCCCCCGTTGTTTTGAAATGCGACGACGAAGTGGTAAAACTAATAAAAACAATATGTAGATATCGCTTTCGATCGACTTTTTAAATAACATTATGATAGGTTAAAAAAAAAATCTTGAAATATTTTAAGCAATTTCTATGAAAATTTATTATTTTTAATTAACGTTTAAGCAAAGTGTTCGATTTCCTTAATATTAGTCAAGCAGTCCTCATAATGTATATCACGAGTTTTATAGGCAAAGCGTATCGCATGTGATTTAACCAAATTCTATCCCTTAGAACTCTCGAATAATTTATTTTATTTTAGTAATTAAACTTTGTCGGGGAAACGTTTATTGGAGTTCAAATGCCCCCGACGGCTGTTCTGTTATCGATTAGAGATCTTTCTCTCTCTTTCTGGTTCTTTTCCTGTTTTGGAAAAAACTATAAAAATATTGGCGATTGGCTGTAAAGGGGGCTACACGGTCGTATGATTGTTTTAAAAGTGCCTATAGATAAGTGTATAGAAACCGGCTTTATTTTTTCTTTCTCCTCTTTATTATTTTGCTTTAAATTCTTTTTCTTTTCCCCCTTCTAGATCCACCATTAACCTTGAAAACGTTAATTATAATGTCTAACTCCTATATTTAACGACATAAAAACGATTTCCTCTCTAAAGAAAATCGATATATGACTTCCGATGTCAACAGCGACTGTAAAGAAAGAGCGAAAATCGTGCAAATACATATCATTGCTTTAAAAAAAAGTTTTTGATATTAAAGATTTTAGTATCGAGTGTCTCAGTTCCAGACGCTTTCCATTGATTTTTTTTTTCAGTGCAAAGATAATGATAATATTTTAGCAAATAACTTTTTGATTCCCCGCTTGTATTTAGCTAAAAATAAGAAATAAATTGAGGGACAAACACAGCTATAGACATACGTGAAGAACTGAAACAAAAAGAATACAATCTGTATTCTGCAGGCGAGTAATGGCTTCCAGTCCCATGGAAAAGCCCAGAGGATCATAAAAACATTGTACGGACCCCAACATAACCCGAACGCAAGCACCAGAGTAAAGGCCATTTTTGTAGTGTTTTTGATAGTTTGATTCCTACGGCTTCGCGCTGCTGATGATTGTGGATTGTAGAGTGGAAGCCATTTGATTAAGGTAATCAAAATAGCCGAATAAAGAGTARTTAGGATRAAGAATGGAATGATGATGACCAGGACTAGAACGATGGCTGAAAAAGTACGATGTGCTTTGACTTGATCAAAAGCTGGGCTCCAGCGTTGTACACAGTACGTCATGTTGTTATGGCGGTGAAGACGAAAAGTGTAGAAATACGGAGAAAAAATGGTCAACGACATTAACCAGATAAACACCATGAGCAATGCTATGTATTTTGATTTCTCGAGGAAGGAACTGTTATTTCTGCAAACAACTGCTCGAAACCTGTCAAACGTCAATCCTACAAGACTGAAAATTGAAATAACTGGACTTACATCAACCAGTAAAAAAACTACTTTACACAGACATTCACCAGTCGTACCGTCTACCAACCATACATTCGAGTTGTTGGCAGTCTTGATGATTTGATAAGGAAGAGCAACAGCCGGAATCAGAAGATTGGATATGGCCATGTTGATGATGAAGTAGTCCAGAGTGGTTCTCATGTTCTTGTTGGTGTAGATGACGAGAATCGTAAGAATGTTCCCTAAAAGAGCCACTGGGATGAGGATTGAGTAGGCGAAGATTTTGCCCGTTGTTGCCGAGCTTGATGTAAAAAAGCTGCAACTGTTTCCTCCTAAATTGTTCGATATGTTCATCATGTTCGGTTGAGTGCCAGCTTAATCCATTTTTCAGTTCATTTACTTTAGCTGCTTCTTAATTGCCCTATTCCATAATGACGTCACAACTTGTTTACAAGGGGGACAGAATCATCGAGAACACTGGGAGTTTCGACAAAATCTTCTTTCTCTCCGAAAGCGAGGCTTCAAATTGTCCAGTTTCCATATATGTTAGGTGTCAAGGTTTATCCTTCTATACTAATAGCATTTTGTTATTCCTCCCTTCTCTGTTTTGTGAATGCAATTTATTGTGTTTTTCTTTGTGTTGTTGTTGTCATCCATAGCGTTAAGACAATAGACTGTTTTGATGTGACGTCATTTGAAATAGGGCAATTAGTTTATTTGCTTTTCTCGCAGTTGTCCTCACATTTACATTTGAATTCAATGACATCCCTTTGGTAAGACAAAAGTGGAAAAAACCTGATTTGCTACGTGCAGAGATAATTTGTTATCAAGTATAGACTTGTAAGGCTTGTGCAGTTCATTTAAGGGTGTACGTGTCTCAATGCCGATGTTTTTCACATGCACTTAATCATACAACTCATGGTGATTCTGGATGATCTATCAAATTATCTCTCTCTATGAGATCAAAGCAATCAAATATAACAACCAAAATCTTGGGGGTAGAAAAAGGCTCAACTGAAAAACTAAATCAAACGGCAAATTAAAGAAGGGCATAGAAGATAATAAATATTTAATTGTTTTGGGTAAAAATATAAGAATTGTTAGGTTGCTGTACGGTTTGACCAAATTTTGAACCAAAAATAATGAAGGATTATCGAAAAACAATCTTTTATCTAGGGAACTAAACCACACTGCGGTATATACATTTTAAATGTAAACCACGTTTATAGATACAGTGCTTTGCAACAAAGCGGCTTCCAAGTTGATTGAGATAATTTTCGGTCCGTAGTTTCGAAATTCGTGTTAATTCTCCCTAGGCTTTTTTTCCCCAAAAAGAAGTGTATTTGAAGTTCACTCAATCAATTGAAGAAGTTTTAGAAGTTTGAAATGCGAGAATATAGATATTTTTATAATTTTTTTTAAAATTTTTAAACGCTACTTTTATATCTAGAATGTTTTTTGTTGTTTTCTGCTGAGAAAAAGAAAACAATGCGCTTGGAAGATATGTGAAAAATTTAGAAAATATTTAGAAAAATTATCAAAAATTAATTGAGGTTTAGACTGTCGGGGAACGACATGACAATCTATGCAAGGGTGCTGTATAAAAGAAAATTAAATACGTGCGCCAAATCACGTACTTCATTATAGTGTCATATTTATCTTGTTGAAAATAATGAATTGAAAGATTCTAAGGCTTAACAAAAATGATGTTTAATGAACAACTGTTTCTAACAACATGAATTTTTTCGCATCGACTCAAGTTATTATCTAAAAAATTTAAGAACAAATTTGACAATATTAACGAACTTTATACATAAAAATATTGAATTTTGAACAAATACTGATTTGGCTACACGACTCCAAAGATATCGGAATACAATTTTTGAATATTTTAGTCTTGTATTTTTTTTTTCTCTCTTTTTTTTCATGCGCGCGATATATCCAATTACAGTTTTATTTCCAGTAGAGCTATTGTTTTATGGTTTTACGATTTCACCTCGGTTTTCGTTCGTTTTTACCATAACATTTAACTTTTGCAAGCTATTTTTTGTGGCTTTCCATTTATTTTTTCAGCTTTCTCTGCTTTATTTTTATAGTTTTTGCATTGGTTCAAATTTTATCATAAATACAAGAAGTCACAATAAAAATGTTAAAAAACACTCTATTTTTTTGTTGTTTTGACTTCATCAAAATTAATGATCATAACATGTGAAATTGTAAAATATTGTTTGATGAAAGCAAAAACCTGAGACGGTTTTTTTTTTAAATACCGAACCATTCTAAAAGAAGGTGAAATATGTTGATATAAAAACGCCTAAACGCGAATGACAAAAAAAAAAAAAAAAAAAAAAAAAATAAAACTAAAGAAAAAAAAAAAAAAAAAAAACGACACTGAACCCAGAATTAAACAAGTGTCAATTGTGTATTGATGTGAATAGGGGAAACGATTCTTTAAAACCTCTAGATCTTGAACATCTGACTGATCATAAATCACTCTGTTCCATCAGTTATCTTAATGTTCGTGTCTGTTCTTAAGCAGAAAGCAGTCTATATGCACTTATTTCAATAAAGTTAGTCAACAAAAACCTAGAAATCTGTGATCGCTGAGAATCATGGGAAAATGTGTTATATCCAATAAGTAAAGCTTTTGACACAAACTGCAGCAGTTGAGGATGCGCAGAGGAGGTGAACTTGTAACTGGTAGAAGATCTCGAGTCCATCAACAGTTATCAAGCGGTTGAAACATGTAAAATGTATCTCAGTACCCATAATCCTTGTCGGTCTTAGCTTTGTAGCTTTTCAGGTAACTAACTTTATTGAAATAAGTGTTTATACTATTTAGACTTTTGAACGAACGAGTAGGAGGATTTCGTTGCCTACGAATATCTCGCACTTGATAGATATATGACCGCAGGCCTTAGACGAAATAACCACTCGTTTTATATTAAAAACAAGTTGAAATCAAAAAAGAAAACAATATCTCTTGTTAAGTAGTTTCCGGCCTCTTCTTTTTACAACCCACACGTGTTGACGGTCATTAGAAGTTCTTAAATCTGATCATCAAATGCTTCTCAAAACTGCAATATATGAACCGCTATGTTTTCCATTCGGGTTAATGCCGTTGATGTGATGTAGTCTTATACCAACCCACATAACACGTTCTTTGATCGTTTATCAAACTTCAGTTGGTTTTCCAGCTGTTTAATTTTTCTGTTGAGTCCCGCATGGGAGGGAACGGAACTTATCCAAATAACCCACGAAAACTGGGTAAATTTGTTTTTAACTCACCTTTACAAGGCTAGCCATCGTGTGGTATCAACTGTTGTTGAATTGTTTTACGGTCACCAAGAAGTTCGCACATTGTTCGGCTCTGATTTCCGTACGAATGTACTGCCTTTTAAACAAATTATAATATTTGCTTGGTTTGTTTAGTTAGCTCTCTAAATACGAGCAAAATATCACCTTTCTAACTTCATTGAAAGCTTTTCTTACTGCTGTTTAGAAAGAAAATTTAAAAATCTGAATTTTCAGTGAATAGCTGTTTTTGCAGTCGAGTCCGCAATGAGATATTCTTTTGTTTACAAATTATACGAGTGAAGCTATCGGGTCGATACAGTGCTTGTTGTCTTATTTGCATCAACTTTGTATGCATCTATTATATCTGCTATTTGTATGGGAATCCGAGAACAATGTCAGAACTTTTTGGTCCTCGTAACACCTTCCAGCATCAACTATACAAGGTGACGACTCGCGCCGAAAAAAAAGTAAATTGGGTGAATGTCGTCGAATGAAGTTTGAGGAAAAGGAAGGAAAGAGGAGAAGTTAGCCATTAGACAAAAAAGTTGAAATTTCGAAAGCTAACTGCCAAATTCTCTCTAAAAACACAGACAGCTCCCCTTCACTCGTCGATAAGGGGGGTGTATCTAACTGAATGTCAAGCTCATGACGCGTAAAATTCTTGCGAAAGCAAGAGCACTCGGTCATCGGACGCGAATGTTCCGTTACTTCCTTGAGTTCTACGGTGACAAGCGACAGAAACGGATCATCATCTTGCTCGCTGCGAAAAAGCCGAGTTTTCTTGTGCCTGACCATACTGACTTCATTCCAGAGATCGTCTTTAATACAAAACATGCGTTTTTGCTTCTTGGTTGGTTTCGTTGCGGGAACAGCCTGGCTTGGCTTTTGCATGAGCTCTTGAAAAACTTCGTACTCGGTGTCCTGAATTTCTTGTTGATTCAAAGAGCGACGCGACTGAAGGATGAATCGAACATCGCTCTCGTCGCCATCTTGGGTTTTCTGCTGTTGACTTTTCCTCCACCTTCGTTTAACGTCAGTGAGGTACCAACGAAGGGACGGAAAGCAAAGCTCGGTGAAGTTTAGATCCCCGTCAAATTTCACATTCAATTCTTCATTTCCTTTCGTGTTTACGTCGTACACTTCAAAAGAAGCCACTTCGATAAAACCACTTCTTCTGAGGAACTTTTCCACTTGTTCCTTGGATTTAATAATCGTGAAGTACGAGCTGCGACACGGTTTTTCTTGCATCTTTTTTTCTTTAACCTTTTTCTCCTTTGGTTTCTGTCGTTTCTGGCGTGACCTTGCATTTCGTCTTGTCACGCCAGAATTCGTGACAACTAGTTCACGTTTAGGCTTCTTAGTCCCCGTTGGCTTGGCCTTATAACCGCGCTTAAGATTCGCCTGCAGCATTTGTACTGTAACAGGTTCAGCATCTTCAATAAAGGACTTTGGGACTCGAAAGATATAGATACGGCCAAACCGTACAGCGAACTCCATTTCACCGTGCAGTGCAGGTTCGTGTTCTTTGGCAGCCAGTGCGAACTGGGTGAGAAACTTTCGTCGGAACTCATCAAACTCTCTACCCTTGAGGCTCAGGGCGTCCTCGGGACTAAAGCGCATGGGGGTGGCCAGCATAGGGGTGTAGAGACGGGATCCATCGTGCTGAGGGTGGTGGCAAGAGTGATATGGGACAAGCGTGAMTACGTCGTCATCGTCACGGTAACCTTACAGGAGAAGTGCAAATGAGAAGATTAAGAAAAGTATCGGCCATGTTGGAGAATATAACAAAACTAGGAGAAAAATTGAAAGGCATCGGGCGGCCATCTTGGAGATTATAACAATATTAAGAATAAATAGATATAAGCATGACAGCCATGTAGGAAAATGTATAATAAATAGAAGTCCAATATAATATGATGAGTGTAGGATATAAATTAAGGAATTAATAACGAGAACGTTCCTGCCTGGAGCCACAAATATGGCCACGTTAATCGTATACGTACCTTCAAACAAGATTTGGCTGGCGCCCTTAACAAAACACATGGACATAAACGCGGCCCTCATCGCACTCGTCGTACGAGTCATATCCTGTATAAGATGTTCAACAGCTTCAACCTGGAGCTCCGTCCCTCTAGCTTCGACAATCAACCGATAGATGAAACTCTGGAACTTCCGTCGGATGCTGACTTTAGCGCCGGTTCGTTCTTGAATTTCATGAGCGTTCTCTCTTTCAGCTCCTCTCATTGCTGCGGAGAGTCCGGTTGATAAATGAATAGTTTCACGAACTTCAGCTTCACACAGGTTCAAGAGAGTTTCTAGGTCTCCATGGACAGCGAGCAAATGATATGCGCGCTGCATTTGCTCCTGGAGAAAGCTTATCGAGCAAGACTTGAGGAGATCTTGAACGCATTTTGCATTAACCAAGCGTGAAATACTTTCTGGTATTCTAAGTCGATCGAGTGAAGTATGGCTGGCAAAGAACTCAATCAACACCTCCCCCGGTAAAAATCCTTTTAGATTTGGTTGGTTTGCGCCAACTTGGCTAGAACCTACCAATCCTTCTAGAATCTGAAAGGAAAGAAGGGAAAACGATACTTTCGCTTTGATTTTCTTATATTAATGGTTTGAGAAGCCAGTTCTTTTATATCCACTTCTCGGCGCCAGTACGTTTCTACGAAGCTTTTCGCTGCAGCGTGGGACAATACAACAGAGCTAAGCTCCAAACTAGGTGAAAGCTCAAAGATCGAATTAGAATTTTGTCGAAGTTGATTTTTGAGGAGGGAGGAAAACCGGAGAACCCGGAGAAAAACCCTCGAATCACAGGAGAGAACCAACAAACAACTCTATTCACATATGACATCGAGATCGGCAGGACTCGAACTCGGGCCGCATTGGTGAGAGGCGGCGCATTAGCAGCTTACGCCACCGGTGCTTGAAAAACCCTTTTTCGTTTTTCAAGAATATAGCTTTTTGGCTTGACTATAGATGGTTTCCCATTTTACGTGTCATTCCCTAGAGTATCATTTCTTTGTTTAACGCTTGTGCATAAAACGGCCGACAAAATCTTATTCTCTAGAGAATGGCACGTGCATGTCTATAAATGCGAAAACATTATTACTTCAAAGGTAAAGAGATCTGTTGTAAATAGGTGTATTAGTTTTACCAATCTTCTCAGTTATTTTCTATTTTCACCCGCCATTGTCCTGAGGAGTTTCCTAGCACATGCAGATTTACTTAGTAACTGCYTACGGATTTTTCCACTCAGTTAATTGTCCTAACGTGTGTATATCGTTATTTTAAAATTCCACTTACATTCTCCCAGTCTTGAAGTTGATCAACAAATTTCCGTTCTCTGTTCTTGTCATAAAAGTGTCTCACCACGTCTCCACTCAGTTCATTCACACACCCATTACCCAAACAGTGACTCAGGAATATAAACATAAGGGCGTTGGTGTTGACACATACTCTTTTGCCGTGACCCGTCAAACCAGACTTGTGACCCCACAGGAGAAGAAAGCGTAGGATTGGAAGCAGGAGTGGTTCGGACATGATATAGTAAGAAACGACGATTGCTTTATCCAGACCATCTCTCGAGGCGCTCAGATCGAAGGGAACTTCAAGAGACAAGGGCGGGGCTTGTTTATTCTTGAAATTCTTACAGCAGATTACCTGCAACGATTTAAAGATTCTTTAAGAATTTCTTCTCAAGTACTAGTGGTTTCATGAGCCGTGTAATGGATAAAGCGATACTTCATGTGACATAAGCTTTTATTATTCATGTGCCAACCAGAGATTGCTGGGTTTCACTTGATGTTATTTCCTGTCTCGTGCGAAATGTTCATCAGCTGAATCACTAATTTTTAATAGAATTCTTTCGGGTTGACAGCACGTGGTGGCCAGTGTTTGACCACCATTTGGAG